GATGTAAAAGAATATTGTTTATTATTAATTAATATAACTTTTTAAAATATGCATATTTACGCAAATACCTAAATTTTATTATTATTATTTTTAGATGCCAGGAGCAACATGTGCTGTTGCAAATTGTGATAACAGCCATTGTAAAACAAAAGTCATTAGACAGGAAAGTCAGTTATTTTAGATTTCCTAAAGATCCAATAATAAGAAGAAAATGGATCCATAACTGTAAAAGAAAAGACAAATTTAATCCTGATTCTTGTCATGTTTGCTCTGATCATTTCACAGAAAATGATTTTGAAAGAAATTTAAAAGCTGAATTATTAGGTTTATTGGCAAGACCTAAACTAAAGAAAGCTTCACTACCAACAGTAAATTTAGGAAACATAGAAAATAAAAATATTAAGCAGTCAAATGAAAGAAAGAATAGTGTATTAAAAAGAAATAGAAAAAACCTGATAGAAAAACTTTTAGATGTAAATAAACAGGATAAAGGAGAAGAATCTTTTAACAAATGTAACAATTGTAAAACTTTAGAAGATCTTAATTTTAAATTAAAACATGAAAATTCTATTTTAAATATGAAGATTAAACATATTGAGATAAGAATGCAAGCAATCCAAAGAAATCTGAAGTTTTGGAAAAGTAAAACTGTCATCATTCAAAAAGAACATGAAAAATTGAAAAAATAAAGATTTTGTTATATCAATATTGAAAGGTTTTTGAGTTTGATGAGATGAAGGTAAATACTGTATATACTGTACTGTACTCATATTAATAAAACCACATAATTTAATAATTATTTTAATTTTCTGTTTTAACATTTTACTGATATTTCAGGAAAAGCATATACTGTATATGAAAATGATAAAGTGAGGAATAAAGTTATTGGACCCAATAATCAAGTTTTAGTGATGATGGCAAGAAGACCATTTGCATCATGGAAACAACCAGTTTACATGGATTTTGATGTTAAAATGAAAAAACAACTTTTATTTACTGTTNTTTTTTTAATTTTTTAGAAAATTAAACAGTACATTAAACCATGTCTGAAAAACGTAAATGTTGCCAATATTCCATTGAGTATTTAAAATTTGGTTTTATTGCTTCGCCAAGTAATGAGCAGTTACCAATGTGTCTTGAGTGTCATCAAGTTTTTTCAAACAAGGGAATGAAGCCTTCAAGAATGAAAGAACATTTATCAAGAAAACATCCTGATAAGAAGTACAAAGATTTTGATTATTTTCTTAATTTAAAAAAGAAGTTAGAAAATCATAAAACAGTTGTGAATTTATTTAAGGAATCGGCAATTCAACTTAACAAGGGTCTTGTGACTTCATACAAAATTTCATTGTTAATAGTAAAATGTGGCAAGCCTCATAATATTGGGGAAAAATTAATAATTCCAGCTGTTTGAGAAATTTTAAGCGATATGACTACATTAAATCCAAACAGTATAATTTTTTTCATTCCTTTAAGCAACAATACTGTTTCCAGATGAATTGATGAGATGGCTAATGATGTTGAAGAACAGCTTTGTGAAGATCTTCAAAACACAGAATTTACATTACAATTGGATGAAAGTATAATTCGCGATAATGAAGCAATATTACTGGCATATGTGCGATACATTAAATATGACAAAATCATTGAGGAAATGTTGTTTGCAAAATCTTTAACTACTGATACTAAAGGTTTGCCTATTTTTAATGTTGTGAAAACATTTCTTGATGAGAATAATATATTAATTTCTAACATTCTTGCTTGTGCTACTGATGGAGCTCCAGCAATGATAGGTAGACAGTGTGGACCTTATTGAAAGCAGAAAATTCTAAAATTTTCAGTATACATTGCATTTTACATCGACAATACTTAGTAGCCAAACAACTCAGTGATAGGTTGCATCAATCAATGAATTTGGTAATATCTTTAATTAATAAAATCAAAGCACATTCTTTAAATGACCGTTTGTTTCTAGAATTATGTCATGATAACGATGAAGAATATGAACATTTGTTACTTCATACGGAAGTTAGATGGCTATCTAAGGGTATAATTGTCTCAAAAGATTTTTAATTTGTTCGATACTATTATTGAATTTCTACATACAATTAAATATGAAATCACATTTAATGTTGAAGTATTACGTAATGATGTTGCTTATTTATCAGACATATGTGAAAAGTTTAACAAATTTTTGACAAAAATGCAAGGCAACAATATCAATCTCATCAAAGTTAAGAGTTTCATAACATCCTTCTTAAACAAACTAACTCTCCACAAAAATAATATGACTCTTAGAGAATTTTCTCTATTTTCTTGTTTAAATACAATAAATGCAAAAAACATTGGGGATACTGATTTAGAAATATATTGCACATATATTGAAAATATAAAAAATGATATGAATATTCACTTTAAAGATGTAGAACAGTTAATAATACCAAACTGGGTAATAGATCCTTTTAATGTGGATGTAAATACAATACCTTCCTCAATACAAGAAATTATGATTGATTTGCAAAATGATGTTGAAGCAAAGATTTTGTATACACAGGATAATATTGAATCTTTTTGGGTAAATAATGGACACAGATATAAAATGCTTTGGAATGAGATCAAGTTATTAATTATGGCATTTCCAACTTCTTGTAGAAAAAGGATTTAGTGCTATTGTACAGTTATTGTGCAAACAAAGAAATCGGTTACAATTAACACAAAAAGGTGATTTGCGATTACTTTTGACAAATTTTGAACCAAAGATAAACAAATTGGCTCAATTTCATCAGCCTCAAGGTTCGCACTAACAATAATTTTTCTGTATATTTAAACATTTTATATTCAATAAAAAGTGTTATATTTTTTTATATTTGTTAACTTTGTTAACACTTATGTTTTTTAATTTTGTTAATTATATTAAAATCTTCTACGTATTCTGAGTAAATGTTTAATTTTTTACAAAGTGTATAATTATCAAATAAACTAATAAACCCAACAAAATTTTTTTTTGGATTGAAGGTGGCGATACTACATAACGGTTTTATTGAAGGGGGCGATATTACGTAACGGTTTTATTGAAGGGGGCGACGATTCATTAGAGGTTGAGAAACACTGTAGTAAAATATTTTGGAAAAATACATATTTTTATTATTAAGACTATTTTATTTATTAGTTGTAAAATAAATGATGTAAAAAAATATTCTTATTCTGGGTTCCTAGACGAGGTTCAAACTTGAGTAAATCTCAAAATTTTTATGTGATGCCTGATGTCAATGAGACTCTGAAGTGTTTGAGTATGTGTCAAACTATCTGTCACGGTCTTAGCAGAAGACAAACTCTAACACGAGCACTCATAAATAGGTAGATCATTGACTTGACAGTCTATAAAATGTTGGCCGAGATAAACCTTTTTGAACAAAAAAATGGGAATTTTTGATAGATGAAAATGATTTGTAAATTCTTAGACTCAAAAAATGGTATAAACAACGGCCTGAATTATGAGTGCGGGTGTTATTGTTTTATAAACAATCACCGAGCAGAGTCAACAAAGAGGTATCAA